AAATCCTTTTTCGACAGGTAGCCTTTCAGCTTGTGAGCGATCTCACGGAAGCTATCAATCTCGCTCCTGTCGGCGGTGAGGAGCGCCCCGAAACTTGCGGTTGGCACGTGGGGTAGCAAGTCGTCCTTGGCCGTTTCGTTAGCTATGGGCTTAAGAGCGATCTCGGTTGCCGCCTCTGTCGACGATGGGTCGTAGGGAAGAGTCCTGAATATCAACGACGACGATCCCTGCTCTGTGGCAGGGCGACTGATTCGCACGGGGATGAAAACCGGATCGGCGGGAGTCCCCAACATGACATTGTTCCAAGTAAGGTTGTCTTTGATGACAGAGCCATTCTCAAACTTGACACGTCGACACCACTCAAGGCCAGTGATGATGGCTTGCTTGATCTGGGTCTCGCAGAGGTTTCTAATTGAGAGATCAGATTCTTTGGCCAAGGAGGAAGCCAGGCCGGCCGTGAATACCGTGTCCAGCTCTGTTTCGAGCGTTTCGTTGAGCCCCTCGGTACACTCTGAGCGCCATTTGTCCAAAAAGCCACCCGCCCGGCTGCCTGGCTCGAAGATGAGAACTGAGTCGTTGGGGTGGGCAGGGTCTCTATAGATGGCCCCCTCGTGTCCGAAGCGGACAAGCAGGTGATAGGGGCGATTGAGCTGCTTATCGCCAAGCTTCCAGAACTCCTCGACTGTTTGGTCCCACGAGAGGTGTGGTTTCCCTTGGACCATAGCTTCGCTGCTGAGCACTACCAATAGACGCTTGGCGGGGAAGCCTGAAGGGATGTCGGGCAAATTTATGGTGCTGCCCTCAAGCGGAGGGGGCTCGTTACTGACAAGCAAAGACGGATGTTGTTCACAGTATTCTTGCAGGTTGTCGACCAAACGTGCTGCAGCGCTCGTACTCCCGTTGGGTTCAGGGGGCGGCAACGACACGCATTTGATTCGGAGCCTGGAACTGACATCCTCCAAGATGGTGTCAACGGAGAATTGATCGTTGACTGCATCGTTTTGGGCGATCAACAGCTCGCGGTCTCCCGGTCCGTGAGAGGGAAGGAGCACTGCATCCCTGGTGGGTGTAGCTGCATCTGCGGCGCCAATGTCGAAGACAAGGTAACCCTTCTTTGCCGAGATGCCCCAGTCCTTGAAGCGAGCGCAGACTCGGACTTGAATTCGGTCGCCAGGCTATTAAACCAGGTCAGCTACCCTTCCTTCTCCCGACCCAGTTGAGTCGGGTGAGGCATCAAAGAGGCCCACCTTGAGCGATGTCAACAGAGCGTGGCCCTTGGAAAACACTTTTCCCTCACGCTAGTTACCGAAAAATTGTTCAGAACCAATGGTCAGTCGCGTGGCTTGGTGAGGTAGGGAGAATGGTGCTGGAAGGGGTGCAACCTACCCATTCATACGCTTCACTCATGAAGGCGTTCTCGTGGCTCATCCAGCAAAGGGGCTCTTTCTCAGCAGCTGTCTCGCCGGATGCCTGCCTGACGATGCCAAGCTCAAACCAGCACCAGTTACCCTCCGGAGGATCCTTTGCGGTGGCTTTGTCCTTGGATTCGGTGATGAGCTGGAGATGGCGGATTTTCTGGATCAAATTCTCGGCGAGTGGCTGCCCGGGAGAATAGAAGACCAGCTGAGTGAACTCAGGCATGCCAGTTATAAGGGGGGTAGTAGGTACGCACACCAGTGTAGAAACCGAGCCAGTCGTTCACCACTACCTTGCCGTCTTCCGCAACCACATCGCCTTGCTCGAACGACTCGAACGATTTAACGACGTACCGTCCGTCCGGCACTTCGACGCCAAAAGGAAGCTTTCTGAGGCTGTCTAGAACCTGCGACATCTTGCCGACGGGATTGGGAGGTTGCTGGGGGACGGAAAGGGGTTTGTTTTGTTTGCAGATAGGAGATTAAACGGGCGTCGCCGTTTCTTTAGGTATTAACAAGAGCTGAGATACTAAGTTTGGCGAGCAGATTTTTTCTTTCTTATTGTTTTGCCAGGGAGGAAAAGGTCGGGGGCTCTACGGTTCCGGCTTCTGGATGGCGTCCTTGAGAGTCTCTTGTGACGAACATGTTGGGCAGCATCCATCCAAGAATTTTCAGCAGCCTCTCGCCTTTTGCGGCAGCGAAACGCGCACATCACCTTGGATACAACTCTGTTGGACTCCCAGTCGAGGTAGTCATAACAAATGATGGTAGTGGTCGGGTGCCTCGATCACATCTCTGGTGTATCAAGACCTGAGTGGCGTTCTGACGTACTACGCTCTAGCTGGTAACAGCAAACCTCTTGTAGAACAGGTTCGATCCTCGTATACTTGTCTCGAGTTGGGTTCCCAACTGATCCGGCCGCAGCATCATGAAATTCAGTCTGACATATCTCCGGGGCCAATCCGCGGTACACAAACGGTAGAGTGATCCATGCAAGAGGACGCATTCAATATGGGCATCAACGCTTCAGCAGCCAGTAGCCATTGACGAGCGAGATTATCCCAATCGCCGACTCCCAGGTTTGGGTCGAAGTGCTGAGGGTGTGCATGCACCACACCACAAAAGTTGAGGCCCAATCAGGACGACCTTGAGCTTGTTTTCACCCCTATCACTGCGAACATACTTGCCGCCTGTTTCCCAGTGTTAGCTGAGTGGCGCCAGATGTCGACAGAAGGCTGTATTCAAGGCTCGCGCACTTTGAACACTATTGGCGGGCTGGCAGGTTTGAGGTCGATGGGCTATGCATTCCTGTTCCTAGGAGGATGCTTTCCGAGCTGTTTATAGTCGAGCATGCTTTCTGAAAGAATATCCGTCCTCGGATGAATGGACGTTGGGTTGGGTGGACCAGATATGGAATGAACGTGTTGCGGGTTGTGGTCGAGAAGGGGGCGGGGGTTGGGTTACTGGGCATGGAAGGGAATTGGTATTGGGTATCAACTAAATGGATACGAGGGCGGCTCCCGCGGTTACCATTCTCTAGTGTTATTCTCTCTTTTTAATGCTGGAAATTGCGTAGATATAAGGGATCGCCCTCTGGACATGGTGCGTGCCTTTTGCTCTGTATGACGCCCGTTCGACCTTGTTTGTTTATCAGTTATACTAACCAAGCTCTCTTTTACCATGGCTGCCGCCGTATTATTCGAGGGCATCGAGGCTCTAACTGAAGTGGCCGAAACCGCTGAAGTGGTCGGAACCGCTGAAGCGGTCGGAGCTGAGGCCGAAGTAGCTGCGACAGATCTGGCCGCCGAGGAGGAAGAAGCACTCCTCGCCGAAACCACGAGTGCCATCACAGTACCCAGTGCCGCCGCTGCCGCCGAGAGGTCGGCGGTACGGGCGGCCTTCGAAAGTGGCCAGGCAATGGCCGCCAACCTCGGTAGATCGGCGGCAAGATTGGCCACAAACATCTGGGGCAACAAGCTGGCCTACGCCAAGGCTGCCGGTATTGAGGTCGGTAAGGGCGCGTTTTTTACCGCGGGCATGAAGGCATTTGAGTCAACCTGGAAGAGTATCTTTGAAACGAATCCCACGCCGGTCAACAAGCGGCGTGTCGCCATCATCCAGGCTGTCAACAAGCAGCGGAAAATTATCACGGTCATTCTGAAGGAGTGGCAAACGTGGATGACGGAACACTTCGACAATCGGGGTATGTATCAAAATCAGTATCTCTTGTTTCCCTTCCTCCCCAGTTGGTTCCGAAGCCGGGAATTGCTAACTAGCACTCGTTATTAGAGAGCTACGGCCACATTTCCGTTGAGGGCGTCAACATTGGTATCTTTCAGATCCTGCAGAATAAGATCTCTGTGGCGAGGGAGTACGACGAGAGCGCTGTGCAGCGGGCGCTTGAGCTCGCTGCCGAGAAGGGAGACCAGCAGAGTGCTGAGAGTTTCCTGACCAAGGAGCAGGCTTTTATCAGGCTCGTCACTGAGGCGGCTGGGTTCATCAAGACTAAGGGTGGCAAGATGGTAGACGACGGTCTGAAGCATCATTATGAGGACGTGGAACAGGCTGAGCAGGCATTACACTCGCTCTGAGAGGGACGGCAAAATTGGATGGGCCGAGCTGGGAAGCTTTTCAGATTGCGATATTTTCTGTGTGACGCTGTCGAGAGTGCCCATCAGACTTCAACAGTATCTAGATCTGTTGAACAAAGACTCGCTCCGGTCAGGCTTTACTTTCGGGGGGTATCTTCTGGGCCACATTCGTGGCATGCAAAGCAAACACACCCCCTACGATGTTGGAAAAAAAAAAGATTCTAAAGTCAACTACCATCTAAAAGCTTGATCGGAATTTAGAACCGCACAATCGCCTGCTGGCGCCCTTCGAATCCCCCACCCCTTTTAAAAAAAGAAAAAATTGTTCAGAACGTCGAGTTTCTCCCTCCTCGACCCAAAGGCGCCAAACATACCAGCTCCAGTGACGACTCAGGCACCCTGATGAGCACCCTGGCGGGTAGCGGTCGCCAGTCCAGTGCTGCTGCTGCGCGCCAGACTGACATCACCACACCTAAGATTTCTAGATTTCTTTGTTTACTTGCAGGCAAACTGAGTCAAACGGATGAAGCTATTCAAAGCCAACCCAATCAGGGCAGGTAACAGAATAGATAGATAAGGTAGATAGATGACTTGGCCCAGCTCTTGCTGGGCCAGTTCTTACCTCAATACACACACAAGATTCCCTGCAGAGAGCTTAGTTTTCCATAACTCCAATGTCAAACTTGTGTATTCTGTATACACCTTCAAATATTCCATATGTAAAAAGACCAACACTTGATCAATTATATGATCAGTTCATTCGGTGAACATAACAAAACAATAAACAAAGCGCAAGATACCTATATAGACAGGTACCCACCTGCCCACACATCTCAGACAAACAATCCTCCAACAATTCTAACCGAAATCCCGTATTTTAAACACCCAGCCGTCATCCCCCCCCCCCCCCCCCCAAAAAAAATATGTCAGGCTAGTTAGTTCTTTAATCTGACCAGAGAACATACTTGCATACAAGACACATCCACAGCATCCAGCCCGCTTGGCTCAATGGTAGAGCGCATCACTAGTACCTTTCTTTCTTTCCTCACTAAACTGAGGAAAACTGAAACAGCTATGTTAAAAATAACTTGACTGGCTAAATGATGAGGTCATCAGTTCGATTCTAATAGTGGGCATTCAATCTCTCTGAAACACTTCAAGAGGGTGTTTTCTTTTTTCTTTTTGTCTCCCCTGTAAATGTAGGGATACCAAAGGAAGCGGGGGTTTGTTATCAGTTCAAGAGATGGGAATGACAGGCAAAGCGAGAAATGATGAAGAGATGATGGTAAAATGGGGTTAGAGTCACAGCCTTATGCCTTGCTGGCAAATGACCAGAGTTGGGATTCCAAGGTGCTGCCGCTGACCTTAGAATTCTCCCTGGCAATCCTTTTGGAGGCTAGCTCAGTTGGGTCCGGGTCCAGCGACCGAGCCGTCAGTTATGGCAGATAATCGAGATGATAGATGACGAGGGGATAGAGAACCAGCTAGAATCTGATAGATGGAGCACCGAACAGATGGGGACATGGATGCGATACATTGCAACGTGGGGATGATAGATAGCTGGATTTCGTTTAAGAAACCACACATTATATCCACGTAACTGACATCTTTCACGATATTAAACAACAAGATAACCGATCAATATGTATTCTCGACACGCAACATCTTAGCACGATTACCAAGCAACCAGGTACGGAATAGCAATTGGCATTACACATCAAACATACAAACTGTCATCTCGTAGAAAAGACATTCAGTAGTAATAGTGTATACATCAACCATACAAACCATCATCTCTAAGAAATACATTCTTGTACTTTTGACAATCAACCGCTACAATACTAACACACACCCGAGTCATCACTCGAAGAAATCCTCACACCTCGCCCTGTACCTCCCAGCCTCAACACCCGCCGACGGCCTCTGCCCCTGGGGACCCAAACCAGGCCTGCCACCAATTCTCTCACCCGGCACCGGACTCGTCCGTCGGATCCCAAGCCCCGGTCTCGGAGCAGAACCCGACGGTCGTCGATCCCTAGCATAGTCCTCACCAAGATCCGAGTCCCCATCATAGAACCGGCCCCCAGCCGGCCTGGAGACATGTCGGACTTGATGTGGCGGCACATGCCTCGGGATTCTCTCCCGTGACAGCCCGCGCTCGTAATCCCGCAGCCCACTAAACTCCCTCTCCCTCTCCATGTCGCTATATACCCGCCTGTCCGCAAAGTCCGAGCGCTCCAAACCAGACCCCCTCCGGCTTCCCACTCGCAGGAGTACCGGCATCCTCCGTCTGTCCCTCCCCCTATCCCAGTCACGATCCCGCTCCCCGTCGGCCCAGTCATCCTCCTCATCTTCGAAGCGAAGAAACCGCATGGGCGTCTCAAGCCCCAAGGGCGATGACAGCCGTCTCCGTAAGACGTCGTCCTCAAGTTCCTGTTCGCGCCGGCGCTTTTCTCGGCGCCGGTACTCCTCAAGCTCCTCGCGCGCAAAAATGTCCAGACCGCCGCCCATCAAGCCCCCGACGGGGTGATCGTCGAGACGGTGTCGCCGAGGCCCCGGGCCCTCACCGAAGTGTCCCGGCTCGAATGGGACAGCCGGGAAGGGTGCCCTGGGCACTCGTGGTGGGTACATCCGTGCTCTGTCTAGACTGTCCCTGCTCACGGTTGAGGCCGTCGAGCTGATATCTGCTTCGTCAAAGAGCTGCGAGTGTCGGCTCAACGGCGAAGAGTCTTGTGACGGAATCCTTGTCTGTTGCCTTTGACCTGGGCCTCCCTGACGTGGCCGAGACTGACTTGCCGCGCGGTTTGTTGGAGGGCGGGAAGCTGACCGCTCTCTCTGGCTGGAATCCCTGCGGTTGGCATTATTTTGGTTGGACTCTCGCTGGATGGACTCCCGTCGGTTGGGCTCTCTCTGGACGGAATCTCGTCGGTTCTGGTTATTATCGGCGACGGGTCGGGCGGCTGGCTGCTGTGGTCTCTGTGCGTTTGGTGGACCTCCCTGATTATGGGCATGGCTGGCGTGGCCGCCATTGCCTCCGGGATTTCCATGATTTCCATGTACGCTTTGAACATTCCCTCCGACATGTCCGCCGCCACCGCCGCCACCGCCGCCATGCCCGCCACCATGTCCGCCGCCGCCAGGGTTACCGTGCCCGCCGTGACCACCGCCGTGGGCCGGAGGATATCCACCCTGGGTGTTCTGCTCGGCGTAACCGTTGGCATGCTGCCAGTTCTGTGCGCCTTGCGCGGGAAGCTGAATGAACCCCTGCGACTGTTGGTAGTTTGCTGCTTGCCGCTGCCCATCGTAAAACGGCTGCTCCTGCTGGTACTGCATCTGGGGATACAGCTTCCGCAGGTTCTGTTGACGCCACAGCTCAACGACATTCACGTTTGGCAGAGGAGACGTTTTGTAGTAGGCTGTGATGCTGGATCGGTCGAGCCTGACCTTCGACTCCCACCCTTTCTTGTACTTGGCTTGTCGTCGCCAGTCCTTGGACTTCCCATGGAACAGCCTCGAGGTGGTCTCGTTCCGGCCGCGCTTCTTGTTGTCACGGCTCTTGTAGTCACGGTGACCGTCCTTGCGATGGCGTCCCCTTTTCTCTTTCCTCGACACGCGAAGCTGATAGTCAAGCTGCACGAGATTTGTCTCGAAGAATTCTGGATCGAAACTCTTCGAGATTTCATGACTTGCAAACTCTAGATGTTTGACGAGCTCCGGGCTGAGCATCTTTTTCTTTTCGGTGACGCTCCCGGTATACTTGTTAAGTAACCGCACCTGCTTTGCGGCCTCATGCTGCTGAACGCCCTGTACACTGATGACGTCGAAGTGTTTCCAGCTGTCGATTCTCCCGAGCTCTTCGTCCGAGTCGGAATCATCGTCGGTGGTGTCCAGCCGAGTAAGGTCCTCATATCGCCTCACAGTGTAGATGCATAGATCATCACGCGCCTTTTTGGGGTTGGGGAGCTTCTCAACACGGGTATCCACAGTCGTAACGAAGCGGTTCTGGTCGGTGAACTTGGTGGCGGTCGTTTCCGGGGCGTATTGGTTCACCTCTCTCGAAGGGCGTTGTTGTTGCCATTGCGGTTGCTGCCATTGCGGTTGCTGCCCTTGCAGCTGTTGCCCTTGTGGTTGCTGCCCTTGTGGCTGTTGCCGTTGCTGTTGCTGCCACTGTTGCTGTTGCCACTGTTGTTGCTGGTGTTGTTGCTGAAGGTGTTGTTGCCCCTGGCTCGCGTTCGCCGGTTGGGTAGGGGCTCGGTTTGCTTGTGCTTGATGACCCGGGTACGCCGGGGCTGGGGGCGGGATGGGGATTGCGTGCCCAGACATATTGTCAAATATCGAATGTGATACCCCTTGTCCGTAGCGTTGGAAGTTGGGGTTGACCGAGCCAGAGAGGAAAGTGTCAAAGCTCGTGTTGTGGAATTTCAAATATTATCCACACTTTGTTGTTCTGGGAATAGAAAAGGGGTGAGGAAGGGGGGAGGAGAGCAGCAAAGGGGCGGGGGTCAAAGTGGGTTAAGTTGGACTTATACGGATGGTGGGCGAACCACACAGCCAGGCAAGGCTATTGGTTTGGCTACAACATGAAGCAAGGCCATCATCAGATAGCCTTCTGGAAACAGGAATCCTGCCTTGTGTCTATCATTGACTAAACGGGGCGGCTCACTCGAGCCGGGCAACATATCTCCATCACAACCATCAACTCATCCGCTGCCGGGCGTAGCACAGCTTGAGCCCCAAGTGTGGTTTCTCACCGCGGGGTACCACCATGGGCTCGAAGAGGGAAACCCCGCCCGGTCAGAGAATCGCCGGCATGCCGCAATGGGAGGCCGGTGACGAATCGCAGGGCGAGGTGAAAAGGTGTATCTGCCGGGCAACGAACGCAGTGACGCACTTGCGACGCTGGATAAGTTGTTGCAGACCTCCCATATATTATTGCCATGTCCCCGTCGGTTTTGTTTCGGCAGCCGCGCTTCCCTCCCAACATTCCCCCTTTGGGCTGTCGATGGGATGTTGGTATTTGTACGAGTTCATGCCGGGATGGTGGACCGAATAGGCATTGTAAGTTTCCATTGTGCCATCTCCTGCAAGTCCACATCGGTCTACTTCAAATGGGTCGTTCAGCTCCATGGAGGGAAGACACTCGGCCGAGGGGGGTATTGAATACATACAGTGCAGCCCGAGGTGAGCAGACACCGAAAAATGATGCCAAGACAAGGCGACGGCCCCCAAAGTTTGCCTCGTCCGCCGGGTGGTCGTCTGCTGCTTCACTGGGCGTAGTCTGCAGGCGGCGCCGCGACGTGACACTGCATCCAACGCATGGGGAGGGTCGGGACCAGCACCCCGAGAGTGTGTATTCTAGCGACAGCCTTGCGGCTCTCTATTCGTCCAAGAGCCAAAGGGAGGTCGAAGATCCTGTATTTGGTGCATGGCGAGCCACAGCCGGCAAACCCGTTCAATGTTCAATCATAATTGCCGGCGGTCTGGTCCCGAGGGCTCGTCGTCACGATCCAGCGATCTCTGGTTTTTGTGGCGTGGCCTGATGTGACTGGATGGTTGTTGAAGAAAAAAAAAAGGGTGGATGGACAATTGAGTTTGTCTTGGACATCTCAAACGACACAAGGAAGGCGCGGCCCGGAAACAACCACACCCTTATCTGTTGCGGAAACAATTTCATGCCGCGAAAACAGGTAGCGTATCAACGTGCGTCTCGCAGAGTTGTTTGAGTCCAAAAGATTCGATAGAAGCCATATCGGTTATATTCTATCGGTTATGTCCACGAACCGTGAGCTCGAAAGTCGAAGGGGCAAAGAAAGCGGGCGGGCGGCCGAGGCGCATGTCGCATGCATGGAGGCCAGACCTGCGGCATCAAGTGCCCGGCTGCGCTGTATATGTTCGACATACATTGCAGGAGCCATGCAGCTCGCAGACGACGATCACCACAGCTGTGCTGTGGTGGCGAAACCACCATGGAAGCTGCAACAGCACAAAAGCTGTCAAGCCTTGCCAAGATCAGTTCCTGTAAGCAGCCAGTCTAGGCACCGCCATCGGGCAAACGACATCGCCACCGGGACAAGGCCATTCTTCGGACTAGCTTGACCCGGTCGAGTTGAAGAGCCTCCTCTCCCCGACGATTAAT